ACTTTCTGAAACAAAATGTTTTGCCTGTCACCAAAGGCAGATCTGTTGTTTCTAAACCCTCAAGGCTGTTGGTAAGGCTGTTGAAATGACTGATTTGAAGTTGGAATGTCACCTGATTAGTCTGAGTAACTAATTTACATTTACATTTACATCATTTAGCAGATAATGTTGTCTGTTTGTCTGTTGACAGGCTGGCAACATATTCCAGGTAGCAGAAGTTCTTTCCACAGTCCCTTTACTGTCCTGGATCACCACTTCAACTGTTTCTCTCTTCCTCATCCCTTTTGTTTGTCATGCGGGATCAGATGCATCGTCAACTTCATTGTCCGACTTCACTAATACTTCTCAACATTTCTCAAGCTTCTGGATCCATCTTCTGGATCGTTTGCTGTCATTTTCCAATCCTTTCTTTGGGGGGAATTATATAATTCTTCTTTAACTCAATGTATCTGTAACATAAGCCTTCCTTTTGGTATTCAGGAGTGGAAATCTGAAGTTGTTGCCAAGGATACTACTGGTATTGTACCTTCAGGTTTTCTTGGAATCTTAAAAAAACTGGTCTAAACTGGTCCAAGAGGAGATTTCAGTCTGAGTTTCTATTCTGAGTCTCTGCCAGGATGGTTATCACACCCCTTTTTTCCACATTGTGTTGTGTTACAGCCTGAATTTAAAATTGATTAAATTGAGATTTTGTGTCACTGGCCTACACACAAAACCCCATCATGTCAAAGTGGAATTATGTTTTTACACATAAAAAAAGAAAAGGAGTCAATAAGTATTCAGCCCCTTTGTCATGGCAAGCCTGAATAAGTTCAGGAGTAAAAATGTGCTTAGCAAGTCACATAATAAGTTGCATGGACTCACTCTGTGTGCAATAATAGTGTTTAACATAATGTTTTTATGACTACCTCATTTCTGTACCCCACACATATAATTATCTGTAAGGTCCCTCAGTCGAGCAGTGAATATCAAACAGAGATTTAACCACAAAGACCAAGGACGTTTTCCAATGCCTCGCAAAGAAGGGCACCTATTGGTAGATGGGTAAAAAAAAAAGCAGACATTGAATATCCCTTTGAGCATGGTGAAGTTATTAATTACACTTTGGATGGTGTATCAATACACCCAGTCACTACAAAGATACAGGGGTCCTTCCTAACTCAGTCGCCGGAGAGGAAGGAAACCGCTCAGGGATTTCATCATGAGGCCAAACATGACTTTAAAACAGTTACAGAGTTTAATAATGGCTGTTAAAGGAAAAAACTGAGGATGGATCAACAACATTGTAGTTACACCACAATACTAACCTAAATGACAGTGTGAAAAGAAGAAAGCCTGTACAGAATAAAACATATTCCAAAACAAGCATCCTGTTTGCAATAAGGCACTAAAGTAAAACTACAAAAAATGTGGCAAAGAAATTAACTTTATGCTTTGAATACAGAGCGTTATGTTTGGGGCAAATCCAACTGAGTACCACTCTTCATATTTTCAAGCACGTTGGTGGCTGCATCATGTTATGGGTATGCTTGTCATTGGCAAGGACTAGTGAGTTTTTTAGGATAAAAAGAAACAGAACAGAGCTAAGCACAGGCAAAATCCTAGAGGAAAACCTGGTTCAGTCTGCTTGCCAACAGACACTGGGAGACAAATTCACCTTTCAGCAGGACAATAACCTAAAACACAACGCCAAATATACACTGGAGTTGCTTACCAAGACGACATTGAATGTTCCTGAGTAGCCTAGTTACAGTTTTGACTTAAATCGGCTTGAAAATCTATGGCAAGACTTGAAAATGGCTGTCTAGCAATGATCAACAACCAACTTGACAGACTTTTAATACTTTTTTTAAGAATAATGTGCAAATATTGTACTATCCAGGTGTGCAAAGCGCTTAGAAACTTACCCAGAAAGACTCAGAGCTGTAATCACTGCCAAAGGTGATTCTAACACTCAGGGGTGTGAATATGTAAATTTAATCCTAATTAAGTGCAATTGGCAGAGGCATCAGGAGTCCATTCTGAGCAGCAGTCTGGTGTCTCATTGGACTAAGGGACCACAAACACCACACCGAATGTTGATCTGCCGTTCATCTGCCATTCGTTCGGAGAGGTGTGTTTTAGGGACCCACCCGCTGGTGGACCAATATTTTTGCGCGATTCTACATGTAGAATTGGTTTGCACTCAGTTTACAAATTACAGGCGGCACTCTGTTCAGAGTTGGTAAGTAATCTTGGCCGGCAAACGCTACCGGTGTGTCCGTGCCCAAACAGTCCTGGCCCCTCACTGAGAGACAGTCTATTGAGAGACCCAAGCTGACTGCCTGTAGACTGCCTGTATTTTCTCTGTGGCCACTATGAGGCAGGGGGCCAGGGGCCCTGGACGGGGCCGGAGAAAAACAAGATGCCTGAAGCACCGTAACTTTACGTACAAAAAAAACATTGGAGAGGTGAGCGAACGTACGGTGGAAACACTGCTGGAAATGTGAAGTATATACTGTATGAGCCAACCAGGGGAGTTTGAGGTTTTCTTTTTAGTGAATATGTGGTGAATTTGAGTTGGAAGCATAGGGGTGGAGGACTGGGTAGGGGGAGGGAATAGAAAATAAATCATCACTCAAGCAATGTTTTGAATTTGAGTCAACCGTAGCTGTGCCAAGAGTAAATATGCAAAAACCATTACTCCATTCCCCCGAGGGGAGGGGGAGAGGAGATGGAGCGTCTGTTACTATCTTAGTGCCTCTCCTCTTCTGCAGATCCTCCGTTCTCCCTATCATTAGTTTTTTTCTTTAATCGACTATCGTGTCTGAGCCATGTGGTTCCAACCTGCGCCCCTGTCCCCTCCCTCTACAGTCATAAACACGTGTGTGTGTGTGTGTGTGTGTGTGTGTGCGCACCTCACAAAACTGCCCCCCAAAAACAACTGACAGACAGAGGCAAGACGTGGAATGTTCACCTGGTACTAAACAAGGTTTGTTTTGTCTCCAGATCACCAGATCAAACCATGGTCCCCTTTAGGGCTGCTCCCCCAGGACCCAAACCCCAAGCTGGTAGCAGGCCAGGGAGAGGGAAGAGTAGAGAGGGTGGCTAGCCAGAGAGAGGGAAGAGTAGAGAGGGTGGCTAGCCAGGGAGAGGGAAGAGTAGAGAGGGTGGCTAGCCAGGGAGAGGGAAGAGTAGAGAGGGTGGCTAGCCAGGGAGAGGGAAGAGTAGAGAGGGTGGCTAGCCAGGGAGAGGGAAGAGTAGAGAGGGTGGCTAGCCAGAGGGAGGGAAGAGTAGAGAGGGTGGCTAGCCAGGGAGAGGGAAGAGTAGAGAGGGTGGCTAGCCAGAGGGAGGGAAGAGTAGAGAGGGTGGCTAGCCAGGGAGAGGGAAGAGTAGAGAGGGTGGCTAGCCAGGGAGAGGGAAGAGTAGAGAGGGTGGCTAGCCAGAGGGAGGGAAGAGTAGAGAGGGTGGCTAGCCAGGGAGAGGGGAAGAGTAGAGAGGGTGGCTAGCCAGAGGGAGGGAAGAGTAGAGAGGGTGGCTAGCCAGGGAGAGGGAAGAGTAGAGAGGGTGGCTAGCCAGGGAGAGGGAAGAGTAGAGAGGGTGGCTAGCCAGAAGGAGGGGGGAGAAGAGGGTGGCTAGCAAGGGGGAGAGCGGTGGGAGGAGAGGGAGGCAGGGAGAGAAGAGAAGTGGGAGGTGGAGGGTGGGGACACACGTCCCTGCATGTGAGGGGAAAGAAAGAGGAGGTGACTAAAACCCTGCCCCAACGTTCTGATATGAATCACGTTGTAATGAAAGCTTTCTGTTACACAAGAGTGGGATGCTGTCCAATAAAATATTCCCTAATCATCCCCATCCTTTAGCTGGATTTATGATGCCAGAGTGAAGCAGCCAGATAAAGAAAACTATGGGTTAGGGAGGAAGGATGGACTGTCTGCCCTCACCACATTCCTAATCCTAACCATCCTCCAGACATCCTGCCCTGGCAGAGCAGAGTGCCAGACTGCCCTCAGGTGTACAGGTGAACTGGTTTTCCCTTAGATCTGGGACCAGGCTAAACTGGGTTGGCCTGATGTGGGGGGCAAGGGTTGGATGGCAGCTGGACATCCCAGACCTGTTAGGACTAAGGCAAGCAGACAGGATGCTATGGTGCATTCGCTGAGCGTTAGCCCAGAGCTTACCTGTACTTCACACCTAATATGCAGGTGGATAGGATGCTACCTAACTGGTGATAAATCCAAGAGATATTGGACGTTGTGTCTGGGGAGAGTTTAATCATATGGGGATTTAATTATATAACTATGGGCTATGAAGGAAGTAAACACTGAATAGCCATCGTTACTATGATAACAAGGGGACCAGACAGACACATAAAGAGGTTCAGTACAGACAAATACAACCTATGTTTTGATAAATAACTGCAGACAAACAACTATTACAGACAGACACAATAAAACATAGACCGGAAAAAACTAACCATACGTGCTGTTTTTCCCTGATACTGTGTTAAATTCACTCTCTATCTCAGAACACATGGTGTCACACCCCCTAGCTACCCCCTCCCCCCCATGATCCTTGTCTCCTCCCATCCTATGATGGTTGACTGTATAAATATCCCACTTGCAGTGTGTTCTAACTCAGAGAACAACAGACAGTGACGAAAGACCAGAGAGAGGGAGAAGAGACAGAACAATAGCACAACCAAAAGAAAGAAAGGAACAAAATAAATATAATCACTAAGCAAAGTCAGAAATAAAGAGACCACGCAAAGAATTCAACAGGACATAAACCTGATCTCAGCTGAAAGGTTCCATCACAGGTCCTCTGATCTGTCAGGAAGAAAGAAAGAAAGAAAGAAAGAAAGAAAGAAAGAAAGAAAGAAAGAAAGAAAGAAAGAAAGAAAGAAAGAAAGAAAGAAAGAAAGAAAGAAAGAAAGAAAGAAAGAGAACAACTCCTGAAGGACCAAGAGAGTGATCCAGTCTGAGACCCAGGTGACCAGGTGATCCATCCACCCGTCCTCCAGAATGTGGCTCCAGGTAGCCTTGTGTCTGTCCTGCCTGGTTCTGGGCTCCAAGAGCCAGGACAGAGCCTCCCTGAGACGCTCCAACGACCACACCGGGCGCTGTCAGTACTCCTTCACCGTGGACAACCCTGCCGAGGCCAGCTGCTCCGGGGCCAGTGGAGGACCAGAGATGGAGGGGGTGAAATCTCGTCTCACCCTGCTGGAGGCCCTGGTCAGCAGGCTGCTGGGGGGCGAGGGAGCCGGGGGAGAGGGGCCAGGGGCTGGGGGTGACAAGACCATCCAGGAAGCGTATTCCCAGGCCATGGGAGATAAGAGCCAACTGCAGGAGGACAAGGAGCAGCTGAACAGGCAGGTGCAGGGGCTCCAGAGGATGGTGGACGAACTGAGTGTGGAGGCTGAGACACTGCGACAGAGACCCTGCCACCAGCCCCAGGCCGCTGGAGCAGGACTCCCACTTCATGAGCTCAACCAGAGACCAGCCAGCGGTGAGTCTCTACTGTCTCACAACATCATCACTTATAACCCACCCCTGAACTGTGTGAAAATGCATTATTATATATACTTTTAGAGAAAAGGGTTCCTAAAGGGTTCTTCGGCTGTCCCCATAGGAGCCCTTTTTGGTTCCTGGTAGAACCCTCTTTAGAATGCATTCTACATGGAACCAAAAAGGATTCTTCAAAAGGTTATCCTATGGGGACAGCTGAAGAACCCTTTAAGGTTCTAGATAGCACCTTGTTTTCTAAGAGTGTATGTCAGTTAGGAACTGTGGATGGTGAGTGTTTGTTTGTTTGATCTGGACAAAATCAAAGTGTTATAATGTAAACTGAGTGGACTACAGGTCAGGTTTCAGTTAGCACTGCTTGGTTGCGTTAGCGGAATGGTATTTACGACACGGATGCTCTTTTTACAGCTCTGTCACTCGTGCCTGTTGCATGTTAGTTTAAGTGTCTGTGATCCTTTTGGGGAATGCAATAACTTGGTTAAATAGGGGAACGTGCCACGCTGCATGTGAAATAACTGGGGCACATATCAAGATGCTTTCATGTTGTCAGCGTGTCATCTTTGAATGTGTTCAGGTTTATTGATGCTGTATGTTTTGAGTTATTTATGACTTCAGCAACCAGATAAACCATTGAAAATCTCTCTCTCTCTCTCTCTCTCTCTCTCTCTCTCTCTCTCTCTCTCTCTCTCTCTCTCAGACGCTCTCTATCAGGAGATGAAGGCTGAGGTGACCGAAGTCCCAGCATCACGTCTCATTCAAGACGCTGGGCAGAACCACACAGGTAGTTTTTGGGGGGTTGTTTTTGGGAACAAAAGATTATTGTATGGGACAACATACTTTTTTTATTGAGTAAATATATTTATTGGTTTCTTTTCATTGTGATAAGAGATATGAAAAATGTAATGAATTTAAGGTTATTTGTTGATGTATAAATCTAAATTTACTGATTTTAAGGTAAGATTTGGGGTGGGTCCCACAGAAATTCTGGCAAAAAAATGGGGTCCCCGCTGAAAAAGTTTGAATAACACTGCTCTAACTTGTATCTATCTCCCCCTGGTGGCGTCTTAAAGTAACTACACACCAACTATACTGAACAAAAATATAAATGCAACATGCAACAATATCAAAGATTTTACCAAGTTACAGTTCATATGAGGAAATCAGTCTATTGAAATACATTCATTAGGCCCTAATCTATAGATTTCACATGACTAGGAATACAGATATACATCTGTTGGTCACAGATACAGTAACTTAAACAAAATGGGCCTCACAATGGGCCTCGGGATCTCGTCATGGTATTTCTGTGCATTCAAATTGCCATCGATGAAATGCAATTGTGTTCGTTGTACGTAGCTTATGCCTGCCCATACCATAACCACCACCGCCATCATTGAACACTCTGTTCACAATGTTGACATCAGCAAACCGCTCGCCCACACAATGACATACACGTGGTCTGCGGTTGTGAGGCCGGTTTGGACATACTGCCAAATTCTCTAAAACTGCACGCTCCCTCAAAACTTGAGACATCTGTGGCATTGTGTTGTGTGACAAAACTGCACATTTTAGAGTGGCCTTTTATTGTCCCCAGCACAAGGTGCACCTGTCTAATGATCATGCTGTTTAATCAGCTTCTTGATATGCCACACCTGTCAGGTGGATGGATTATCTTGGCAAAGGAGAAATGCTCACTAACAGGGATGTAAACAAATGTGTGCACAAAATTTGGAGAGATATAAGCTTTTTGTGCGTATGGAAGATTTCTGGGATCTTTTATTTCAGTTCATTAAACATGGGACCAACACTTTACATGTTGCTTTTATATTTTTGTTCAGTGTATAATGTATATGCACGCAGTGGCGATTTTAGCATGTTCATCTTGGTGGGGCAAACAAACAAAGAAAATGTGGGATGCATGCCAGCAAAGCCACTACACAGCACAACACTAAACAATACATTAATTGCATTATAACGGTGACAAACTGTGCACACAAACTGTTAGGGCCTACATAAAGCTGTCCCAACAGCAAAGTCCCAACAGAAGTCCCAACATCTTACCACTGCTACACCTGGCTATCAGCGGAGCCTTGTCCGGCAGCGAAACAGTTAATTCAGCCTCATTTACTGCCTTTAAAAAAACATGGCTGATACGGCTGACTTGCTTAAACAAATGTGGTTTCTGACAACTGAGATGTACAAACTATGGCATAAGGGGACGACAAGTGAATAAGAGGCAATCCGTAATTTCGATTAAGACATTAATGAGCGAGCTAGGATGGACGTAGTCAATATAACTATTTGTTTAGCACTTTTGAAATGTACAGCGACGGAATTCAGAATATGGGCCATTCTTACAGTGTTCTCCCTGTATGCCAAGTCAGAACCATGGGATAAATAAAGGGGGCATATAAGCAGACAATGAAAGCTCTTACAATATTCAATGATTACATTTCTCTACAGGTAATAGGCTACATGTGCACCACCAAGTCAGAACAGTAGGCGAAATTAAGAGGGGAAAATAGACAAAATTATTAGGGTGAGGCACATTGGCTACTAACAGCTTACCACACAACAGTATTGCTTTCTTAGCTACAGTATACATACAGTTGAAGTCGGAAGTTTACATACACCTTAGCCAAATACATTTAAACTCAGTTTTTCACAATTCCTGACATTTAATCCTAGTAAAAATTCCCTGTCTTAGGTCAGTTAGGATCACCACTTTATTTTAAGAATGTGAAATGTCAGAATAATAGGAGAGAGAATGATTTATTTTAGCTTTTATTTCTTTCATCACATTCCCAGTGGGTCAGAAGTTGACATACACTCAATTAGTATTTGGTAGCATTGCCTTTAAATTGTTTAACTTGGGTCAAACGTTTCGGGTAGCCTTCCACAAGCTTCCCACAATAAGTTGGGTGAATTTTGGCCCATTCCTCCTGACAGAGCTGGTGTAACTGAGTCAGGTTTGTAGGCCTCCTTGCTCGCACACGCTTTTTCAGTTCTGCCCACACATTTTCTATAGGATTGAGGTCAGGGCTTTGTGATGGCCACTCCAATACCTTGACTTTGTTGTCCTTAAGCCATTTTGCCACAACTTTGGAAGTATGCTTCGGGTCATTGTTCATTTGGAAGACCCATTGGCGGCCAAGCTTTAACTTCCTGACTGATGTCTTGAGATGTTGCTTCAATATATCCACATAATTTTCCTTCCTCATGATGCCATCTATTTTGTGAAGTGCACCAGTCCCTCCTGCAGCAAAGTACCCCCACAGCATGATGCTGCCACCCCCGTACTTCACGGTTGGGATGGTGTTCTTCGGCTTGCAAGCAACCCCCTTTTTCCTCCAAACATAACGATGGTCATTATGGCCAAACAGTTCTATTTTTGTTTCATCAGACCAGAGGACATTTCTCTAAAAAGTACAATCTTTGTCCCCATGTGCAGTTGCAAACCGTAGTCTGGCTTTTTTTGGGTGGTTTTTGGTGCAGTGGCTTCTTCCTTGCTGAGCGGCCTTTCAGGTTATGTCGATATAGGACTTGTTTTACTGTGGATACTTTTGTACCTGTTTCCTCCAGCATCTTCACAAGGTCCTTTGCTGTTGTTCTGGGATTGATTTGCACTTTTCGCACAAAAGTATGTTCATCTCTAGGAGACAGAACGCATCTCCTTCCTGAGCGGTATGACGGCTGCGTGGTCCCATGGTGTTTATACTTGCGTACTATTGTTTGTACAGATGAACGTGGTACCTTCAGGCGTTTGGAAATTGCTCCCAAGGATGAACCAGACTTGTGGAGGTCTACAAAAATTTTTTTGAGGTCTTGGCTGATTTCTTTTGATTTTCCCATGATGTCAAGCAAAGAGGCACTGAGTTTGAAGGTAGGCCTTGAAATACATCCACAGGTACACCTCCAATTAACTCAAATGATGTCAATTAGCCTATCAGAAGCTTCTAAAGCCATGACATCATTTTCTGGAATTTTCCAAGCTGTTTAAAGGCACAGTCAACTTAGTGTATGTAAACTTCTGACCCACTGGAATTGTGATACAGTGAATTATATGTGAAATAATCTGTCTGTAAACAATTGTTGGAAAAATTACTTGTGTCATGCACAAAGTAGATGTCCTAACCGACTTGCCAAAACTATAGTTTGTGAACAAGAAATTTGTGGAGTGGTTGAAAAACAAGTTTTAATGACTCCAACCTAAGTGTATGTAAACTTCCGACTTCAACTGTATCTCCCTGTCATATTACATCATTTATGCAGCAGCATAAAATACATTTTTGGACTCACCTTGTTGTTCTGTGCTCACTTGAGCAGTCCTTCGTGGGCAAATGTTGTCATCAAAGTCTGGCATTCTCTGGATTTATGGTGCCTTGAAAACAACTGGGAACTCGGAAAAAAAACAGGTTGAATCATGATGAAGTCAGTGATCTTCAGGTCGTAGCTCTAGAAAGAGGCCTGAGTTCCGGAGTTGGATGACCGTTCAATCTGAGCTAATTTTTTCCCAAGTTCCCAGTTGTCTTGAACTCAATAAAGTCTTCGCAGTTCCGGGTTACCAGTTGTTTTGAGCACGGCACAAATCATGCTTCATTGACAGCATGGCCAATGTTGAATGTTTATCATTTTAAACTTGGAAAAGAGACCCTTAATCCCAGATTTGGGACCACACAGCCACTCCACTGAATAGCAGGCTAGTGATTGCTTTGTAATGCTTGCATTTAGCCACTGATTCCTTACAAACCACTCATTGTTGAATTTGCGATTTCCAACTTGTTGTGTAATGTTTATGTCCAATGGCTGATGAGCACCGATACATTTTATCTATAATTTCTTTCATTATTTCTCTTCATATGACAAGGATTAAAAAGGATTTGCCAGTAGATTGTCGATTTGATTCATGATGATGACTGCTAGCTAAGATTTTGAAAGTATGATGTTGACATGATCAGTCCAATCAAAGCTACTGTAGATATAACGCGATTTGACATTTTATCTGTGGTCAATGACCTTGAGCCTTCTTGGATGGGCACTTCTAATGTAACTCCCTGGCAGCACCCAAGGGGCTTGAATTTTAGAGCTCTACCCTTAGACTTGGCGGTGACGTAGTGTCCCTATGAGTGACAGGACACTGAGCCAATCACCGCGCAACTAGAGAACATTACCAACACCTACTCTCTGTATTTTCCGCTGGCTGCCCCACCAACACAGAAAGCACTGAGCTAGGCTGAAACACCTGCATTTTGGAGCTGCCTTACTCAAGAAAGCAAAGAAGAGACCATGTTTGTATGCGGCTTTATTAACTAAACTCTGATTTTTTACATTGTTTGCAAACTGATATGTGACACGTATTAATGCCAAAATAACACGCAAGCCCCCCAAATTTGTAAAGTTTCTTTTTTTTTATCCCCACCTGCCCTGAATGACGGGTCGCCACTGTATGCACGTCACCTCTAAGTACACAAATAAATCAGAGATGATCATGAAGGTAGTGATCGTGATAATGAACGTTTAGAAAAATGTACTGTATATTTCACAAAGCACATATTCCAATTTACAGTCCCCCCTTGGCATTTTTCCTATTTTGTTGCCTTTCAACCTGGAATTAAAATAGATTTTGGGGGGGGGATTGTATCATTTGATTTACACAACATGCCTACCACTTTGAAGATGCAAAATATTTTTTATTGTGATACAAGAAATAAGATAGAAAAAACAGAAAACTTGAGCACCACTTTTCCGTTATTTATTTTTTAGAATATTTTGAAACAAGTTATTTTTTTCATTCCACTTCACCAATTTGGACTATTTTGTGTATGTCCATTACAATGCAAATAAAAATAAATTTAAATTACAGGTTGTAATGCAACAAAATAGGAAAAACGCCAAGGGGGATGAATAATTTTGCAAGGCACTGTACTTAGCATAATTCCCTTGTGGAGACAAAGATTGAATTTAATGTAACTACCCTCTATCTGTGTCCAGGCTGTGGTGAGCTTGTGTCTGTGGGAGAGCCCGTCCTGCACCGAAAGGCCGACAGCATCACAGGGAAGTACGGGGTGTGGCTGCAGGACCCTGAGCCCATGGCCCCTCCATACGGAAACAAGACGGTGTGGCGCATCGACACAGTGGGCAAGGATGTCCGCCAGCTGTTCGCCTACGAGGACATGGAGCAGTTTGCCAAGGGCTTCCCCATGAAGGTTATTGTGCTGCCAGAGCCCGTGGAGAGCACAGGGGCCACCCTGTACCGCGGCTCCCTCTACTACCAGCGCCGACGCAGCCGCACCCTGCTCCGCTACGACCTAGCTTACGAGAGCCTGGCGGCACGCCTGGACCTCCCCCACGCTGGCTTCCACGGCCAGCACCCCTACTCCTGGGGCGGCTACACAGACATCGACCTGGCGGTGGACGAGCAGGGTCTGTGGGCCGTCTACAGCACCAGCAAGGCCAAGGGAGCCATCGTGGTGTCCCAGCTGGACCCTGAGAGCCTGGAGGTAAAGAGGAGCTGGGAGACCAACATCAGGAAGAACACAGTGGCTAACTCCTTCATGATCTGCGGTCGGCTCTATACGGTGGCCAGCTACACCGCCCCAGACACCACCGTCAACCACGTGTTCGACACGGCCACCGGCCAGAGCCGAGCCATGGCGGTGCCTTTCAAGAACCGCTACCGCTACAATAGCATGGTGGACTACAACCACGCCCAGAGGAAGCTCTATGCCTGGGACAACTTCCACATGATCACCTACGACGTCAGGTTGGGGAGACTCAGCAGAAGCAGCCAATAAGAGGAGGCTGGGCAGAGATGATGGACTGGTGTGGCGTGAACTCATACGCTGTTACTAGAATATTATCAACCAACAACATTACTAACAGCTTTATAATAAGATCGTAGCAGGCCTCTGTCTGTGTGTGCTACTCTGTCTACTAGAATACATTTTTTCTACTAATGTAAATAAGATGAATCTTACAATAACAAAAATGGCAGGAGATTCACTAAGGTGGAACTCCATGTAAACAATCTGAGATATTGCTCTTCCTGTATTATATATGATATCTTTTACTTATTTTAATTTAAAAATGAACTGTATTGTCCATGTTGAGTCTATATTCAAGTTGTATCTTCACTATTGTGTATTATATGTGCTCCAATTACCATTTGTATGGCATTTTATCTCTCAATAAAGATTCAAATGATAGAGATCCCTAAAAAGTTGATCAGTCTGCATTTGTTCAATAAATTACAGTTGAACAATTTGCACAGAGCATTGTTGAAAATGCCACCCAAGGCCTTGACATGCACAGTAAACTACAGAATAAGCCACAGTGCACAAAGAGAAAAGCATTTCAGAAAACAGAGAGACGATGCAGGTTTGTTTTTAACTGGTCATGTGGTGCTATCTGCTGGCCAGTAGTTGACATGTCTAGTATCAGATCAAGGAGTTGTAATACATTAGCTAAGTAGCCTGGAATCTGCACTGAGCCATATTCAGTGTGGATTCTAGGCTAACATCTATGTGCCTATAGAATAGTCCGTAGGTCTATAGCTTAGGTGCTGATTACTTCATCAACCTAGCCTGGAATCCATGTGTTTCATCAACATAGTACCACTTCATCAACATTGCAACCGGAGCTATCGGACAGAGCTAGCAAGTCTCTAATTCTGACCTCCATAATGGCTTAAATCAAGTGTTATGTAAACCCCTAGGGAAATTTGTGTTGGGGTGGGGGGTTTCTATGGAATGTTGGCATGGGTGGGCATTCAACAACACTTGGGAGGGTAGGTATCACTAGGGTGTTACCACCGTGTGTGTGTGTGTGTGTGTGTGTGTGTGTGTGTATAGCAACACTGTAAGGGGACATGCTGATGTGTTCTAATAATGATAGTCAGGAGATGACACTCAGCAACAGCTAATGGAAACTTTGCTTGGGGTGGGTATGGTACCCTTCCACCCACACACACAGACAGAGACATACACGACAATAGGGCAATACCACCGCACCCTACTGTTTATGGAAACTGAGCTGCCGTGCTCTGCAGACAATGGGTCGCTTAGCCAGGAACCATGCATGCTTTTTATATCTCTCATTCTCACGGTCTTACCCACAGAATTTAACTTCCTCTCCAAAATAAACTTTTGTGGTTCAATTCTTCCCTTCGTTTTATCCTATTTCAGTGTGAAAGTCATAGGTTGGCAACGTCTTTATTGACTGTGTCATTATAAAACACTGTCTGTCACTCCTTACCAGTAGAACCTGTGACACACAATTAAAACAATATATCATTAATTCTTACCCACCCATCATAAAATCTATTTTTCAAACGATAATAGCTATGGGGGCTATGTAAAGTAAATATACAGAAGAATACATACCGCTCCATAGAGTCAGTGCCAAAATCATCAACTGTAACTGAATGCCACTTGGCAATTGGCAGAATAGATCGAAATACTATAAATGCATTGCATACCACAAAAAATTATATAGGGAGAAAATATTTCCACATTGTGTTCAATTAAGTTTTTCTATTCTATTCTAAAACAGAATACAGCCATTCTCTCTTGGCCAATTGTACTTTTGCTGAGGCAATAAATAGACACTTTTCCCACATAAAGAGCATAAGAAACCAAACCTCCTTCCATTACTAAAGAACAGTCCCTTCGCCAAAACAGCAAAGCCTTGAACAAAAACAATAGAAACAGGAACAATATCCAGTTTGGAATCCAGGCTAGTGAGACCCTCTAGATGCTGGGTGGTCCTGGTCCTTGTCCTATCCCAGGCTCCGTACCATGTCATGGAGGTCCTGTAGGCAGTCCCACAGCAGCCAAAGCCTCTCCACCAGGCCGTACTGGTAGTAGCCCATGGCCAGGCCGAAGCCAACATCCGTAACGTAGTGCCTCCCCACAGAACTCGGGACAGGCTCACCAGGCCGGCCCAGCACCAGGCCCCTCAGGGGGGCTGTCACCACCAGCTGGGCCAGCAGGAAGCGAGCACACATGGCAGCCCACGTGGAGTGGATGGAGGGGAAAGAGTAACGCTCCACGAAGAAGGTAGAGAATATGTTGGAGCGGTTCTGGGCGGGAGGCCTCCGGCGACGGAACAAAGTCTTTACAATCTGGACCAGACCCAGGTCCAGGAGTAGAGCTGAGGATGAGGGGAAGGGGAGGGGGGAAGAGAGAAACAGAGAGTGAGCAAGGAAGAGTTGTATGGGGCCAAAAGGATGTTTCAAGTCAACATACCACAAATGTCATTTTGGTCAAATGTTAGCCCATACAAGGTTCTAAAGAGTCTTAAAAAGCTTCTAAATAGAAGGTCATCATTGCCCATCCTGGGACCTGGGAAGTCTTCCACTTCCACTAGGAAAATATGACAATCCGGGTAGGCCTAACCCTTAAGAACTCTCATCAACAACCCAAATGCGGTGGCATGTAAACGCTGCTGCTGTATTTCCTGTGTCTCTCCAGAGTTGACACTGTAAATCGGGAGGTTGAAAGGAAAGAACTTTCCATGGGCCCTGGTCTTTGGCGCAGGCCCATCGCCATGCCAGCTACTACAGAACGACTCGATGATGGAGCCACGATTAAAATGGATACTGCTCTTTGTCTACCACAGAACGCAAAATGAATCGCCAGATTTTATAAAGGATACGAATGCAATATCAGACACTTTCGTGAATTGATGAGCTTTGGCCAATTACGCAGCTCTGTGTGTGACACTGTCCAGACCATTAACCTAATGCAGCTTTAAAGGGATGGTTTCACCACGGAGTAGACAGTACAAGGTGCTGATGAACCAGGGCACGGAGTGGCCAGTGATCTTCACCAGCCTCACCAGGGGCCGAATGCTGCCTCAGGACGAGTCCTCACAGACACACACCCCTAGCCGCTTGGTGAGCCACAAGTCGATGTCCCCGGGGCTCGGCCCACCCAGTCTCTGGTGCGAGACTCTAGACAGTCTCTGGGTTAGAGCGTTCTAATCACCAGTAAATGCGCACTGGACAGGTGTAAAGAACACTGTACATTTTACTTTTGACACTTGAAAAAAGCAAGTGAAAAAAGATCATAAAAGCATTCAAATCACCTGTAAACCCACACTGGATAGGTGTAAAGAACACATGGAAAAAACACCATAACAAGCGTTCTAATCACCTGTAAATGCGCACTGGACCCAGATTCACAAAACACTTCTTACACAAAAACTTAAGAAGCTTCTTATGGAGAAAAAAAAATAAGAAGTTCATAAGATAGTTTGTAAGTGCAATTCCTCAACAATATCTTAAGATTTAATGATTTTCTTACAAACTTGTCAAATAGCTTCTAACCAATCTTTTCAAAAATGTTTGTTGCTAGGCAACCGATTTAGCTGGCTATCTAGCTAGCAATGGCAATCATGTTAGCATATTTTGTACTGCGATTACTGTTCTAAAACATGTTATTGGGTTTAAAATAATCAATACTGAAACTTTCAGATTAAGTTTGTGAGTGAATTAAACATGTTCAATTGCTTTCCTGAGTTTATTATTTTACTGCCCTGAGTTTAAGACAAGGGTTTAGCTATCTTGGAATTAAGAACATTTCCAATAACTTTATTTTCAAGAATCAAATTTCTTCTTAACTCTTCGCTTAAGGGGATACATAAGAAATAGCGCAATACATTTTTCAATAACCTTTTTGAGGAATAGCAACTTTGCTTAACTTTTTTCATAAATCTATAGTTAAGAAAAAAAAATGTCTGTTAAGAAGAAATTTCTTCTTAAGAAAGTTTTGTGAATCTGGGCCCTGGACAGGTGTAAAGAACACGTGTAACATTTACTTTTGACACTTAAAAATTATCATAACAAACGTTCAAATCACCTGTAAACGCACACTGGACAGGTTTTTAAAAAATCACGTGTACAAAAAATGACATTTGAAACTTGAAAAATGATAATTATAAGTGTTAAGACGTGTTCCGGGTAAGACGATTTGAACCTGCTGTCATTGGAGCGCGCGCCTTTTCATTGCAACCATGCCTGGACTACTGCTCGGAGATGTGTTTCCTAATTTTGAGGCCGAAACCACTAACGGCCAAATTAAATTCCATGATTTTTTGGGTGACTCGTAAGTAATTTTAAAGGCTGATATGAGATGAAATATGCCATCGATTGAAATCACGTGTTGGCATTTTGGAATAGACTACCGGAGGTTCCTGTTTTCCATTATATAATGTTCTCTTTTCGATTTCACTATATGCTTTGCATTAACTAAGGCGCCTGTTTCTAAATATTATGCCTAAATCATTAACTTGTAAAAAGACAGGTTTAGTATAGTTTGGCAAAAATCGTCAGGTTGATTATGCTGAAAGCTGTCATAGCCTACTCTCAAACTGTGTGGGTGGGTGTGAATGTTTATTTGAAACCTATTGGGTATTGCTAGGATGCGTTGGCATCTGCACTTTTTTCGTAGATATAATAATAAACAGCTGTTCTTCCCCTATTTGAATAATATTTAGACATGTATCTTTACTCATGGTCTATGGTTTTAACTGCTTGCGTGCAGCTCAAATCATTTATTCTCTGAGCCCACTCAATGAAAACGCTGACAACACTGAAACGTCAATTGGTGCGACAAAGCAAGCTCTCTGTGGCCACACTTGAGGCCGGCTATATTTTTCTTCCTGGTACTTTACATGATCAAATACATTTTTTGAATGGATCTTTAGGTTGCTTGACATAATCAGGTGGCGCAGTGGTCTAAGGCACTGAATCGCACGCAGTGCTAGCTGTGCCACTAGAGATCCTGGTTCGAATCCAGGCTCTGTCATAGCCGGCCGCGACCGGGAGACCCATGGGGCGGCGCACAATTGGTCCAGGGTAGGGGAGGGAATGGCCGGCAGGGACGTAGCTCAGTTGGTAGAGCATGGCGTTTGCAACGCCAGGGTTGTGGGTTCGAAAAAAAATTATGCACTCACTAACTGTAAGTCGCTCTGGATAAGAGCGTCTGCTAAATTACTAAAAATGTAAAATGTAGATTTGGCCCCTGGGAGCTGTGGCAGCCATCTTACTGCAGACTGTACTACTATTTTACAAACCTTTAATCTACAGTGCATTCAGAAAGTATTCAGACCCCTTTACATTTTGCTACATTACAGCCTTATTCTAAAATTGATTAAATCGTTTTTTTCCTCATCAATCTACACACAATACCCCATAATGACAAAGCAAAAACAGGTTATTAGAAATGTTTGCAAATCCCTACAGCATTATGCTGCCACCACCATGCTTCACCGTAGGGATGGTGCCAGGTTTCCTCCAGACGTGACGCTTGGCATTCAGGCCAAAGAGTTCAATCTTGGCTTCATCAGACCAGAGAATCTTGTTTCTCATAGTCTGAGAGTCCTTTAGGTGCCTTTTGGCAAATCCTAGCGGGCTGTCATGTGCATTTTACTGAGGAGTGTCTGTCCACTCTACCATAAAGGCCTGATTGATGGAGTGCTGCAGAGATGGTTGTCCTTCTGAAAGGTTCTCCCATCTCCACAGAGGAACTCTGGAGCTCTGTCAGAGTGACCATCGGGTTCTTGATCACCTCCCTGACCAAGGCCCTTCTCCCCCAATTGCTCAGTTTGGCCGGGCGGCCAGCTCTAGGAAGAGTCTTGGTGGTTCCAAACTTCTTCCATTTAAGAATGATGGAGGCCACTGTGTTCTTGGGGACCTTCAATGCTGCAAAAAGTATTTGATACCCTTCCCCAGATCTGTGCTTCGACACAATCCTGTCACTGAGCTCTACGGACAATTCCTTCAACCTCATGGCTTGGTTTTTGCTCTGACATGCACTGTCAACTGTGGGACCTTATATAGACAGGTGTGCCTTTCCAAATCATGTCCAATCAATTTAATTGACCACAGGTGGACTCCAATCAAGTTGTAAAAACATCAAGGATGATCAATGGAAACAGGATGCACCGGAGCTCAATTCTGAGTCTCATAGCAAAGGGTCTGAATACTTATGTAAATAAGGTATCTGTTTTGTATTTTTAATACATTTGCAAATATTTCCAAAAAACAGTTTTCGCTTTGTCATTATGGGGTATTGTATGTAGATTGTGGGGGGGGGGAAGGGAAAAGAGAAGGGGTCTGAATACTTTCCGAATGCACTGTATATAAAGTCATGGCTTATACTTATTTGACTTTTGTAAAAGTCATGGCCTTTACTTCTTGGCCTGAATCTGTTTAAAATGTTTAACAGTTACACACAGTATAATACAATGAGCACATAGGGAAATACAGCAGTTATGTATTGTAGAAAAATAATATTTCTGAGACTGCGTGTATCAGAGGTGAGTTAGAACGCTCTATAGATGAGGTAACCCTGCCTGCGACTTACGACCAGCTTCGGCCCAGAACAGAATATTATTTTGGTCTACTGGTTAAGACTGGTTGGGTTCCCGACAAAATGGCTACTAAAGCTACTTTGCAATGCAAGGAGCAAATACAGACTAACTTCAGCTGTACCTGGGAAAATACCCCTGCCATTGAGTTGGAATAGTTCACAATTGCTGTGGACAACAAATCTCTCAAGCTGTGCTTCAGTCAGACAAGAACTGTGCCTGGCACATGTAATATTTTTATTTCAACCGGTTTCATGAATAAAAGTATGACACACTAGTTTTTCTACTTGCAGTTGAATATAATGTTTTTCTATTTCAACAAAGTAAAGGCTATGCCACAGTTTGGTATGCCATGGGCTTTTGGTGGTGACTGTTGATCTGAGGCAGAATCAGGTAAATGTGTACTTACTGCTCCCTAAGGGACCGCCAAACGTGATGGCTCCCTATCTAAATCTTTTCAGGATACATACATCTAACTCTGTGCCAAATGTGGTGTGTTTATCAACAACAGCAAAAAATGACTTTGTAACTGCAATATTGTATTACCAACAGTGGCCATTTTGTAAGATGCCTACCATGGCCAAATGTGGTGCTTTTATCACAAAGTGAACGATTGAGTCAAATTTTGCAGCTTAGCCGCTCCACTAAAACAGAAACACGGAAGCAGGGGGACAGAGGCTGACATTCCTCTGCTAGGCCCCTACAAATCTCTATATCTCCCTCTATCTATCACTCCCCACCCTCTCTCTCTCTAGCTGGGGTATCCTGTTCTCCCACCCCCGTGACTACACCCCTGTCTGCACCACAGAGCTGGGCCGAGCAGCCAAACTCAGCGGCGAGTTCAGCAGGCGCAACGTGAAGATGATCGCCCTGTCCATTGACAGTCTGGAGGATCACCGTGGCTGGACCAAGGTATAGGCTTGTCCCAAATGGCACCCTATACCCTTTTATAATGCACTACTTTTGACTAGGTCAAAGGGGATAGGGTGCCATTTGGGACACAGTTTTGAGTGGGTATACCAATGACCAGTGTGTTTAGTAATGGAGGGCTGTGCTGTGGTCCTGTAGGACATCCTGGCCTACAACAATGAGGAGTCTGGCTGTGAGTTCCCCTTCCCCATCATAGCAGACAGTCAGAGGGAGCTGGCAGTGGCCCTGGGCATGCTGGATCCAGATGAGAAGGACAAGGAAGGCATGCCCCTCACTGCCCGCTGTGTGAGTGTCAAAATACACACGCATGCACGCGCACACACGTACACAGGCACAGACAGACAGACACTGACACCCTTTCTCTCGCTTTCTTCCTGTCAGTATTGCACTCTACCGTTTCTCAGTCATTGCCCATAATGAGATCATCCTCCTCTTTCTTGTGCTCTATTTTCCATAAACATTACTTATTCATGCTGATGCAAGCAGCCTACCTTCACTGGCTAGTATGAGTTAACTACCCCTCCCCCACCACCCCGTCTCACAAAAACACACACTACCTCAGCCCCTTGTTGCATGACGTAATCTTTTTATATTAATCAGTGAGGGTGATATCACCGCATGATGGCTTCCTGCTAGTGAACACAGCTCACTAGCCCTTATCTGCTACACTCTCTCGCTCTGTCACACACAAACTCATCCCCTACCTGCCTAATGCCATCCCACCAAAGTGTGACATTTTTTTGTGTCTCAGGTTTTTGTGATTGGCCAAGACAAGAAGCTGAAGCTGTCCCTGCTCTACCCTGCCACAACGGGGCGTAACTTTGATGAGATCCTGAGAGTGGTCGACTCCCTGCAGCTCACAGCAAAGAACCGGGTGGCCACCCCTGCTGACTGGCAGGTCAGTCAGCCAATCCCTGTCAAGCTCTTTAGCCTGACAGTAGCATTTGCAGCATCCTTCAGGAAGTATTATCAGTCAAATATAAATGGCAGCTTGAGTGACCCTATAGACAATCAGTTAACATCATTCATCACGGCAACTATTTTTATTGTTCTCCAAATACTATCATCAGCGCAATATCAATATGCCACTTATGCCCATTTCTATTTTCTCTGCTAACTCCCCTTCTCATTCCCTCTCTCTGTCCAGCCTGGCGAGCGTGTGATGGTTCCTCCAAACATCCCTGAGGAGGAGGCAGCAGCCATGTTCACTGCAGGGATCTACTCCAAAGAGCTACCCTCAGGAAGGAAGTACCTGCGCTACACACCACAGCCATGAGGGGCAGCAGAGGATCACACCTATAGTCACACAGCCTCCCACAGAACCACAGAGGGAGATTGCCATTCTCTTTATGATGGTGGAGTGCTGATCATATCACAGATTGACTGGTAGCATTTTGCTGATACTATGGACTCAGGACGTGGTCATGTCGCAAATGTTGTAGTACTGGCATGTTCAAAGACACATAGCTAGACAAGTTGGCCAGATTCAGCAAATCCATAAATACTGACAACTTGATTTATGGAGTTGAATGTGCAGTTGTCAGGTTTAAGATGTATTAAATACCTTGGACAGGTGTGCTGCCATACTTCTAATCGTGAGACCATGAATAAAACGCCTTCAACGGCAACACAGCCTTTAGTTTCACTTCAGTGTTACTTATTGCAGTCAATAAAGCAACTGTAACCCAACACCTACCAACCTCGTCCAGAGGATCGGATCTCATGGTGTAACGGCTAAGGTGTTGGGTTGACAGTCACTGGACCTGGGTTCAAGTCCCGGTCGGGGCTAACCCTGAATTCGCTACAATAACATAGTCTCTTCCCACAGCCCGCCACCATGAGTTTGCCACACGAGACTATACAGGTGACTGATGTCAGCATGATATTCTGTCATGGGTCTGGACATGACCCAGTCCTGTTAACTCAGCTGTGGGGGATTTGAGCATTCCTCTGTGTCACCTCAGAGATTATGGTCTTTGATCCTGTAAGGAACAGGAACACACATTCCTCTATGGCCTGCTCGGACAGTAGGAGACAGGAGAGGTTAGAGACGTGATAGAGAAAGCGATAAGAGGAGATCAGAGAGAGAATGTGTGTGATAAGAGAGATCAGAGAGAGAATGTGTGTGATAAGAGAGATCAAAGAGAGAATGTGTGTGATAAGAGGAGATCAAAGAGAGAATGTGTGTGATAAGAGGAGATCAGATACATAATGTGTGATAAGAGATCAAAGAGAGTGTGTGTGATAATAGGATATCAAATAGATGAGATCAGAGAGAGAAGGTGTGTGATAAGAGGAGATCAAAGAGAGGAGATGAGTGAGATAGGGATTAATAATAGCAAATAGGCCTAGGTGTGAAAAAGTTACATTGGACACAATTCAAAATTCTTATAAACTTGCATAATTTCTTACAAAAATATATTTCATGATGACTGTTTTATTGCTTTTCACAGGTGGACTTTTTCTGTCAGTGCCTTTTGAACTCTTATCAGTGTCCTGTGGATGGTACTGTAGACCATATTACATTTTCAGGCCAGGACTGCACGTCAAGTTTAAAATCTGAAATACTGGAATATTGCATTAATATCCTGCATCTTCCCCCATGCATCAAGTCAAGATGGACAGTGTCACCACCATTTTGCAAATGATAAATCACATTTGAGTTCAGACTCTTTTCTCCTCTGACTTTTATAGGGGTATTGGGTATCTGGGTCCAGCTGATTTTTGGAATCAACTAATTTGGGTGTCTGATATCATAGCCGTTTCCACAGTCTCTACCTGATATCGCATTCAGACTAATCCAACCTCGGTGTTGGGAGTACTGTCTGCCATTTCAGGTTGGACGGTGGCACCTCTTGGTTCTCAGTCAGTCATTCATAAAGGCCATGTACTCCCTCTGGTGGACATGGAGGCGCAGGAACACAGAGTGCTTCTTCCTGTAAAAGCTAAGAGAGAGAGAACACAGTTCCTCCAGTCAGATACTACAACATTATAAAAACATTATTAGAAGGACATCATTAGAACAAAATTACAAGCTGACCTGATAACAAATATACTTTAATATATCAGTAGTGATAAATGTTTCCCACATTAACGTTAATTAATCATTGTATCCCAGCACATGCCTCCAGCACAACCCACAGACGTTTGACCAATGAAACCCAACACTGATGCAGGCCAGTCTCTCGTCTCACCTCCGGAGCTCGTGGTCAGGCTGAACAACTTTTCCCACTTTGGCCATTTTCTCCATCGCCTCCTAAAACATGCATTCATAAATCAAGCACTGCTCAATTAATCATACACATTCAGTTTTAATCTATCTCGAGAGGTGAGGTAGAGAACAGCCCATGACCTGGTTTGAAAAGGAAAGGCCCAACTGTCTATGTAGTTTGTGACATACAGTACGTAGGCAGCACAATTCTCAGTTCCTGGCCTTATACATATCCTTCTATATAAGCTCTATAGTTCACACTGCCCTGTCATCCCTAGTCCGTCATCCCTAGCTCAAATCCTCAGACAGCACCAACTGCATGAGCAGTTTTGACTCCAAATGAGGTGACAGGTGCGACCCAGTCCAAACAATAATACATATTCTTATTTTTAGCACGTCTGGCTTACCGGGTGGGCCACTACCCAGTGTTCAGAGGTATGCTGCTGAATGCCACAGAGCGACACCCCCAGAGCCCTCTCTTTAGATAGATATCTAGCTACCTCCATGTCATCTCACCAGACTATGCACAAGTCTCCACCTTAAGCCATAAGAGTGCTGAACAATTCATCAAATGGCCACCCAGACTATTTGCATTGACCCCCCCCCCCCCCCCCCACCTTGTTTTTACACTGCTGCTACTCGCTGTTTATTATCTATGCATAGTCACTTTACCCCTACCTACATGTACAAATTACCTGGACTAACCTGTACCCCCGCACATTGACTCGGTACCAGTGCCCCCTGTATATAGCCTCATTATTGTTATTTTATTGTGTAACTTTTTTTTTTTTTTTTCTTTAGTTTATTTAGTAAATATTTTATAATATAATAATAATAATATGCCATTTAGCAGACGCTTTTATCCAAAGCGACTTACAGTCATGTGTGCATAAATTTTTACGTATGGGTGGTCCCGGGGATCGAACCCACTACCCTGGCGTTACAAGCGCCATGCTCTACCAATTGAGCTACAGAGGACCATAACTCTATTTTCTTAAAACTGCATTGTTGGTTAAGGGCTTGTAATTAAGCATTTCACGGTAAGGTTTACACCTGTTGTATTCGGCACATGTGACAAATTACATTTGATTTGATTTTGAGACACAGCAAGGGAATCTGTGCATTTCTCCTTTACTTTAGTTTCTCTCCAGTAGATGGTAGTATGGAGTCAGGAATGCTATGATGCCAAACTAAATATTCTACTGCTGTGTTTATTGTGTGTGCTGCACCCACCTGTATGGAGCTATAATCATGGGAAGCACAGGCACCTAGAACTGCTGCTCCCACCAACACAGCCTCTGTCTGTGCAGGCAGCACCAAGGGCAACCCTGAGAACACAACAAGTAGTATTGTTACATCCGTTCATAAGCACTCTCAAGTTATTTTACAAATAAGGAATTCATATGAGTGTTTAAGTCACTCTCTTCATAATGAGAAATATACATTTCTAAATAATAATTCAGAACCTCAACTGAAACAATCTAGGTTTGTTTTCAGTGGGGGTGTTTCTCAAATTCAGGTTTGGTAGTACCTCCCCTGTTTTACTCTCGTTTCAAAACGTTTTATGGCTGCTGGACACAAACTAGATCACCCTCCATCACCCACCTGTGGCATTGGCTTGAATCTGCACATAAAGAGGATTCTTACTCAACCCCCCACACAGGAAGAGGGCTGTGATGTCATGTCCTGCCTGTGTCATGGCCTCTAGGATATGCCGGGTGCCCAGCTGAAAGGAGAGAGGCAGGAGTGGATTGTTGCAATATAAAACCAATCAATCAATCTAATTAGTTTATAAAGCCCTTTATACAACTTAGAGGGAGGGCGTACTCCTCTGGCTATCATAACCACACACAATCATTTAGGATAGGATAATCTAGGTAAATATTTCAAGCAATGTGTGACATGTTTATATTAAATGTAGTATTCATGCTTTTTGGGGTTTCAGAAAAGCGCTATATAAGTACTATGTATTATTACTAGTGAAACTTACAGCCAGTGCCTGTACAGTAGCAAGGTAAAGGAGGGCCAGGTCATCCAGGGTCTGGGACAATGACAGCCCAACCACCTGTACACACACAGAACACCTTCAGTACCACTTAGAAAAGCTTTGTAGAGCATTCATATTCATAAGAACTACATAGATGCTTCACAAATCATTTATAAGCAAAGTCATACAGGTCTGGCATTTTGACAATGTGGCTTAAAACCCTTCATTTACTTTTATATAGCATGATGACATTTGTTTCTGAATGATTTCTGAGCTCAGAGGGTCAGAGCCCTAGCCTGGTCCCAGATCAGTTTGTGCTCTCTTCAAAACAAACACTAATAACATAAAAAGTGTTTGTCACATGTGCCGAATACAACGGGTGTAGACTTTACCGTGAAATGCTTGCTTACGAGCCCTTCCCAACGATGCAGAGTAAAAAATAAAGTTCACAAGAATTAAGCTATCTATTTACAGAGTACCAGTACCAGATCAAGGTGCAGGGGCTGGAGGTATTTGAGGTAGATATGTACATAAAGGTAGAGTAAAGTGACTAGGCATCAGAATAGATAATAATAATTGTACAAATAAAGAAATGAGCAGCGGCAGCATATGATGAGTGTGTGTTGCCAACTCCTATGGTCATTGTTCTTGCCCAATGACCATAGGACTAGGCAAGATAGCATAAACAGATCTGGGAGCAGTCTATCAGAGCCCTGAGCCAGAGGTGGTCTCTCCTCACCGCGCCCCTCAGGGTGGGGTCCGCCAGGGGGGAGCGGTTGCCATGAAAGTCTGGCCAGACGTGGAGGCTGGAGGCCAGCAGGTCCAGGGGAGCCCCCAGGTCTTTAGCCATTGAGGACAGGTGTCTGTTCAGGTAACTGTAGATATGCTCCCCACTGCAGGGAAATATAGGGGATGTTACACTTCTTTAAACCTACTTTGTATTATGTTGTTGATTGCCAATTATTTGTGTAGCAAGGTGGTTTTTCATTGGGAATCTATTTTGTAAAGTGTATCAAGTAATTGACTTCTCAGCTGCTATTGGAACTATGTAATGCCTTCGAGCTATAGTAAATCAATCATTCTTTCGCAATGGAAGGTGGACAGACGGCACATTGTTTACGAGCTAGAAAAACTTGTTTTCCCATTGCCCAAGGAGTTTGTCAATTGACATGCCAGGACAGGTGATAACAGACATTTACACCATGCTCTTAGTAGGTTAAGGTTAAGTAGGTTAAACATATGGATTCTGAGCATTCTGGGCCTACAGGCGCCTGGGCAGAGTACATATCTGGACAGAGTATGTGGTTCATGTTAAATGTGTATTCTGTACTATTCCATGTGAATTGTATGTTGTTGTTGTTTTAATAGATATGCTTTTTCTGTAAATAGCTGACCCTTTCACAGCCTGCTCCTGTAGCTGGGGGTAGGCTACATGACCTTTCACCACATAGTCAATCTGAGGTAGGAGAAAAAAGAAAGAAAAGAAAAGAAAAATGTATGTTGTGGATCTGGTTTGAGCAACCCTAGTGCCTAGTATAATGCATATGTAGCTGATTACTTCAGGTCACAGTTCACACATGGACAAAGTCACAATTACAGGGTTAAGGTACTGCTGGTGTTCTTTCTCTCCTTCTGAGAGGAGACTGGGACTCCAGGTATGTGGGTTCTTGGGCCAATCAGTGACATGAATAGATCAATGAAGTACCAGGTAGAGAAGAAAACCAGCAGTTCTGCAGGGCCATGTGCAAGTAGTTGAATAGGCCTGGTCTAGTAGGACCCAGGGGGAGCAGAGCTGAACTGACCAGTCTTCCAGTAGCACTCTGTCCTCCCTCGTTGAGCCACAGCTCAGGCACCATGGCGGACAGGTAGGGTCCCCACACACCCGGTACAAACAGGGGCCCCTGGCTGATCTGAACACACAGAATAACACATAGAGGTTTCAACACAGCTATGGGCTTCAACACAGCATCAGGCCCCCTCACCTCCCCCTACTAGAGCTAGATGTTAAAGCTCATGACACTAGACTCCAGCTGAAGGATTCAAGAGGTTGCAGCAGGTCAGGGTCTACCCCTCATGATTGGTCACCATGAAGGACTGCTGATGAATGGCATTGTAATACTATTCGCCATGCTAGATAAACATACTTGGCTAAGATGGGTTGTGGGTTTGATTCCTGCATGGGCCCCACATACTGAATATGTCTGTCACTGTCAATGTTCTGTAAATCAGATCAAATCTGACAAGTGGCACATATTATATTACATGACAACAGGAGCTGTTTAAGTCTAACCAACTCACCGCCATGTGACAGGAAGATGTTCCACAGATCATGGCCATGCGCGACGTGATTGGCTGGTCCTCACAGGCCAGGGAGAACCCCCTCACGTCTGCACCAATCACACCTGGAACCACAAAACACACCTTATTCTCATTATTTACATGGTTAAAAAGTTAGGAAGGTCGTGGACCAAGAACATTTGTAAATTTACATTTCTGTCAAGTACAGTATGTCGTGGAAAAAAGGTATTTCTCATTCCTCTGCCTACTTGACATTTCCACTTCTACGTTTTGACCTTTTGCAAAGTTCACTGAGAATACCCAAAACACATGTATAAAAACAAAATAAAAAAACGATTCTCAGTTGTTCCTGCCATAACCTGCCCGTTGGAAACTGTGCACAAGGCTTCTACTTATTCTCTTTTTATCACTAAGAACACATTTGTTTGACAAGAAGAATAAAACATCCTTTATGATTCCAAAACACGGGTTATATAATAGCCAATGGGGAGACTGGGCCACAAAATGGAGGATTGTTAACTCAGTATCTTCACTCTTTGAAGTGGGTCTGTAACCTCCAAGGTGGAATATAGTGCTGACATTTACTGCTGGGATAATGTTGCCAAGCTGGTTCTAGTTTTAAATGTGGGAGGAGGTGGGAAAGAGGAGGAGGTACACAGAGGTGGAGGAGCAGAGTGCACGTACATGTCTGACATGTACAACAGTTTAGAACAGCACAGTGCTTTAAACTTTCACCTTTGACCCCATGCAAGTGTAATCAGCAGAGGTCCCAGCAGGAGTCAAAAGTCGAAGTTCATTAGCAGTTTAACTGCCTAAACGGAACCAGATGACCAAGGTCTGGTTAGGTGACTGATCCAGGTGATGACAATAAACTCCTGCAGTAGTTTCTACTGAGCTGCTCACACAAACATCTTCAGTTGTCATCTACATTTTTATTATATTCTCATTTATAGATTGTTAGCGGCAATATGAAGCACCAGTGGTATGCGCAAAAACTATTTTGTGACTATAAACAAAAAAACAGAGGAGACCCTTGGAATGAGTGTCTACCTAGGCCTCCGGCATGGGCATCGATAAGGGAGGCTCCCACTGGGGTGCCCATGTCCAGCCCCAGTTCGGCTGCAGCTTCCTGGGTAAGGCCTTCTCCCACTGGGCTCCCTGGACAGCAGGTCACACTGCCTAGATGGGTGTGGAGAAACACACAGTGGCTGGAGTCAGTGGTACTCCCATTGAGAAACCAATGCGGAGTTTGATATTTCAATTTTTCTTTCATTTATTCAGGAAAACTCTCTTGATGTTGAAAACCGGTTGACTCTGCTCACCTATTTTGGAATGGTTGTTTTCCAGTAAGTCCTCTAGACCAATGGCTGTCCAGAAGCTGGTGTCCCATTTTTCTGTGGGGCAATAGGTCCACTTACACACCAGAGTACATAAGGACCTGAAGAAGAAGGGAGAATCTGTCTGATACACACCCACTGTGACTGGTCAAGATACACAAACACGCACAAACCCCTCCTACCCCTCTCTCCTTCTGTTCTAAAGCTCACCTGGCCAGAGAAGCCGTGGCTTTCCAGGACAGGAAGTCAGGGAGGTCCAGAAAGTGGGTGGCGTCCCTCCAGCATGTCTCTCTCAGGTTCTGACCAAAGAATTATGGGTAGGGGGAAAATTATATAAAAACTTCAAGGCAATAAACCACAGCACTTAGGCAAACTAGCCAATCAGAGGTGTCCAATAATAAAACAGTCTGTTGACGTATAGTGGGTGACCTCTAACCTCTTTCAGCCAGAGCAGCTTGGGGGGCTGCATCTCCGGTGACATCACCCCTCCCACCCTGCTCAGGACCCTGTGGCCGGTGCTGGTGATGCGTGCAGCCTGCTCCGCAGCGCGATGGTCCATCCACATCACCACGTTCCTCTCAGCCTCACCTACACACAGGGCAACAGAGAGGGGAGGAGGAGACATTTTGACAAATACCTAGTTGAAACGTTGGACTCAATAACACTGTGAGCATTCAACTATTTATCTATTTTTAACCATTCTCTCACTCACCATCCTGGTTGACAGCTACAGGCTGGAAGTTCTGGTCCAGGACCACTAGGGAACAGGTGGCATCAAAACCCACCCCTCTGACCTGATTCCTCTGCACTCCCTGGGTCACTTTCTGTCATAGGAATATGGTGTTGGTTACATGTTGTTCTTTATGTTTTTGTTTTGTATTGCTGCTGAATATAATGAGAAAACCTTGCAAAACGGCAAAAAGTATTCAAAAAGGTATTGGAGTTAGGCATCATACTAATCTAGGCCAAAAATTAAAGAAATTCCAAGAGAATGTATCACTTTGCAGAGCACTTTAGTCACACCTGAACACAGTCTCTAACACCTACCCGGACTGTGCTACAGCACTTAGCCCAAATGTCAGTGGATGACTGGACATAATGGTCTGAGTGAGGTTTCCAGATGGTGACCATCTCCTCTGCAGTGGTCTTTACTTGGCCCTCCCTTGTGACCAGAGCAGCCCTCACACTGGCTGTCCCCACATCCACCCCCACATAGTACCACTCTACTGGGTCTGACCCAGCCATTTACAACACCTGCAGGACAGAGAGAGAGGAATCATTAAAAATAGATCACTGGTGAAGAAGGTTACTATGGCATGTCTAGGGATCTGTTTTTAGACATGCATATAGGTTATGGGCTCAAATATGAAATGAAAACATACAAACCTATTGTGTTTCTTACAACAACAAAAAAATGAAATAGTGTACTACACACGAGACAGTATAGATAGATACTCATTAGCAATGGGATCATGTCACTTTCCTGTTGATAGAGTGTGAAAGTACTAAAAGTATTGCGCTGTGCGTGATTGATCACTGAAGTGATACAATGTTGCTTTTACATTTTTGGAATCAATTTGTTATATATAATTTCGGTCTCTGTTCAGTCTGCTACATTTGACAATTCGTGGTGTAAAACGCGAATCCATAAACATTTGATTTAAACAGGGTCAACCCGACACGAAACTTTAACAACTTGTTTGATACATTACCTTGCCTCGAAGATCACAATGTATATTGATAACATTCACGAAATCACTCTTGGATGAATAGCGAAGTGGACTTTGATGTCCAACGGAACGCGTTAGTGACCAAAAAGGGTAAATCGTTGTGCTCTCGCATAGCAGGCCAGGCAGCGGGGTTTCTCTTTGCTTTGATCAACTGCGAGTTTGTAACACTGGCAGCTCGTCATTGTACACATACAAATCTGAAATTACACTAGCCCATTAAATCAGCTTTACAATTTTAGTTTCATTTCTAAAGTGAGGATGTCAAGAAACCCCTATTCTATTAATCTGTATGTATAAAACGTGCTCTGCCAAAATAGACCTTAAAATGGTATTGTACCTCAATGTAACTCCCTAGAATAGGTGATAAGAACATAGTTGAGTCAGGGTCATTTGAGTCTAACACAGGCAACAACAAAAAAAGTCAAAATTGGAAGACAATTCTACTGATCTTATAAACACTCAAGGCCCAGGGAAAGCAGTGCACAGCAGACTGTGCTTGGGCCAGTAAGGAATATATATATACACTGCTCAAAAAAATAAAGGGAACACTAAAATAACACATCCTAGATCTGAATGAATGAAATAATCGTATTAAATACTTTTTTCTTTACATAGTTGAATGTGCTGACAACAAAATCACACAAAAATGATCAATGGAAATCAAATGTATCAACCCATGGAGGTCTGGATTTGGAGTCACCTCAAAATTAAAGTGGAAAACCACACTACAGGCTGATCCAACATTGGTGTAATGTCCTTAAAACAAGTCAAATTGAGGCTCAGTAGTGTGTGTGGCCTCCATGTGCCTGTATGACCTCCCTACAACGCCTGGGCATGCTCCTGATGAGGTGGCGGATGGTCTCCTGAGGGATCTCCTCCCAGACCTGGACTAAAGCATCCGCCAACTCCTGGACAGTCTGTGGTGCAACGTGGCGTTGGTGGATGGAGCGAGACATGATGTCCCAGATGTGCTCAATTGGATTCAGGTCTGGGGAACGGGCGGGCCAGTCCATAGCATCAATGCCTTCCTCTTGCAGGAACTGCTGACACCCTCCAGCCACATGAGGTCTAGCATTGTCTTGCATTAGGAGGAACCCAGGGCCAACCGCACCAGCATATGGTCTCACAAGGGGTCTGAGGATCTCATCTCGGTACCTAATGGCAGTCAGGCTACCTCTGGCGAGCACATGGAGGGCTGTGCGGCCCCCCAAAGAAATGCCACCCCACACCATGACTGACCCACCGCCAAACCGGTCATGCTGGAGGATGTTGCAGGCAGCAGAACGTTCTCCACGGCGTCTCCAGACTCTGTCACGTCTGTCACATGTGCTCAGTGTGAACCTGCTTTCATCTGTGAAGAGCACAGGGCGCCAGTGGCGAATTTGCCAATCTTGGTGTTCTCTGGCAAATGCCAAACGTCCTGCACGGTGTTGGGCTGTAAGCACAACCCCCACCTGTGGACGTCGGGCCCTCATACCACCCTCATGGAGTCTGTTTCTGACCGTTTGAGCAGACACATGCACATTTGTGGCCTGCTGGAGGTCATTTTGCAGGGCTCTGGCAGTGCTCCTCCTGCTCCTCCTTGCACAAAGGCGGAGGTAGCAGTCCTGCTGCTGGGTTGTTGCCCTCCTACGGCCTCCTCCACGTCTCCTGATGTACTGGCCTGTCTCCTGGTAGCGCCTCCATGCTCTGGACACTACGCTGACAGACACAGCAAACCTTCTTGCCACAGCTCGCATTGATGTGCCATCCTGGATGAGCTGCACTACCTGAGCCACTTGTGTGGGTTGTAGACTCCGTCTCATGCTACCACTAGAGTGAAAGCACCACCAGCATTCAAAAGTGACCAAAACATCAGCCAGGAAGCATAGGAACTGAGAAGTGGTCTGTGGTCACCACCTGCAAAACCAGTCCTTTATTGGGGGTGTCTTGCTAATTGCCTATAATTTCCACCTGTTGTCTATTCCATTTGCACAACAGCATGTGAAATTTATTGTCAATCAGTGTTGCTTCCTAAGTGGACAGTTTGATTTCACAGAAGTGTGATTGACTTGGAGTTACATTGTGTTGTTTAAGTGTTCCCTTTATTTTTTTGAGCAGTGTATATACAGTGAGGGAAAAAAGTATTTGGTCCCCTGCTGATTTGTGTACGTTTGCCCACTGACAAAGACATGATCAGTCTATAATTTTAATGGTAGGTTTATTTGAACCGTGAGAGACAGAAAAACAAAACAAAAATCCAGAAAAATGCATGTCAAAAATGTTATAAATTGATTTGCATTTTAATGAGGGAAATAAGTATTTGACCCCTCTGCAAAACATAACTTAGTACTGGGTGGCAAAACCCTTGTTGGCAATCACAGAGGTCAGACGTTTCTTGTAGTTGGCCACCAGGTTTGCACACATCTCAGGAGGGATTTTGTCCCACTCCTCTTTGCAGATCTTCTCCAAGTCATTGAGGTTTCGAGGCTGACGTTTGGCAACTCGAACCTTCAACTCCCTCCACAGATTTTCTATGGGATTAAGGTCTGAAGACTGGCTAGGCCACTCCAGGACCTTAATGTGCTTCTTCTTGAGCCACTCCTTTGTTGCCTTGGCCATGTGTTTTTGGTCATTGTCATGCTGGAATACCCATCCACGACCCATTTTCAATGCCCTGGCTGAGGGAAGGAGGTTCTCACCCAAGATTTGACGGTACATGGCCCCGTCCATCGTCACTTTGATGCGGTGAAGTTGTCCTGTCCCCTTAGCAGAAAAACACCCCCAAAGCATAATGTTTCCACCTCCATGTTTGACGGTAGGGATGGTGTTCTTGGGGTCATAGGCAGCATTCCTCCTCCTCCAAACACGGCGAGTTGAGTTGATGACAAAGAGCTTGATTTTGGTCTCATCTGACCACAACACTTTCACCCAGTTCTCTTCTGAATCATTCAGATGTTCATTGGCAAACTGGACTAGCAAACGGGCCTGTATATGTGCTTTCTTGAGCAGGGGGACCTTGCGGGCGCTGCAGGATTTCAGTCCTTCACGGCATAGTGTATTACCAATTGTTTTCTTGTTGACTATGGTCCCAGTTGCCTTGAGATCATTGACAAGATCCCCCGTGTAGTTCTGGGCTGATTCCTTACTGTTCTCATGATCATTGCAACTCCACGAGGTGAGATCTTGCATGGAGCCCCAGGCCGAGGGAGATTGACAGTTCTTTTGTGTTTCTTCCATTTGCGAATAATCGCACCAACTGTTGTCACCTTCTCACCAAGCTGCTTGGCGATGGTCTTGTAGCCCATTCCAGCCTTGTGTAGGTCTACAATCTTGTCCCTGACATCCTTGGAGAGCTCTTTGGTCTTGGCCATGGTGGAGAGTTTGGAATCTGATTGATTGATTGCTTCTGTGGACAGGTGTCTTTTATACAGGTAACAAGCTGAGATTAGGAGCACTCCATTTAAGAGTGTGCTCCTAATCTCAGCTCGTTACCCGTATAAAAGTCACCTGGGAGCCAAAAATCTTTCTGATTGAGAGGGGGTCAAATACTTATTTCCCTCATTAAAATGCAAATCAATTTATAACATTTTTGACATGCGTTTTTCTGGATTTTGTTGTTGTTATTCTGTCTCTCACTGTTCAAATAAACCTACTATTAAAATTATAGACTGATCATATCTTTGTCAGTGGGCAAACGTACAAAATCAGCAGGGGATCAAATACTTTTTTCCCTCACTATATCTATATATTTTTTTTTTCACCTTTATTTAACCAGGTAAGCCAGTTGAGAACAAGTTCTCATTTACAACTGCGACCTGGCCAAGATAAAGCAAAGTAGTGCGATAAAAACAACAACAACACAGAGTTACATATGGAATAAACAAAAACGTACAGTCAATAACACAATAGAAAATCTATATAAAGTGTGTGCAAATGAAGTATGTTATGGAGGTAAGGCAATAAATATGCCATAGTGCAAATAATTACAATTTAGTATTAACACTGGAGTGATAGATGTGCAGAAGATGATGTGCAAATAGAGATACTGGGGTGCAAATGAGCAAAATAAATAACAATGTAAATAACAATATGGGGATGAGGTAGTCGGGTGGGCTAATTACAGATGGGCTGTGTACAGGTGCAGTGATCGGTAAGCTGCTCTGACAACTGATGCTTAAAGTTAGAGAGGGAGATAAGTGTCTCCAGCTTCAGAGATTTTTGCAGTTCGTTCCAGTCATTTGCAGCAGAGAACTGGAAGGAATGGCGGCCAAAGGAGGTGTTGGCTTTGGGGATGACCAGTGAGATATACCTGCTGGAACGCATACTATGGGTGGGTGTTGCTATGGTGCCCAATGATCTAAGGTATGGCAGGGATTTGCCTAGAAGTGATTTATAGATGACCTGGAGCCAGTGGGTTTGGCGACGAATATGTAGTGAGGGCCAGCCAACGAGAGTGTACAGGTCACAATGGTGGGTAGTATATTGGGCTTTGGTGAGAAAACAGATGGCACTGTGATAGACTACATCCAATTTGCTGAGTAGAGTGTTGGAAGCTATTTTGTAAATGACATCGCCGAAGTCAAGGATCGGTAGGATAGTCAGTTTTACAAGGGCATGTTTAGCAGCATGAGTGAAGGAGGATTTGTTGCGAAATAGGAAGCCGATTCTCTAGAATAGAGGGGAGAGAGAAAGAATAGAGGAGGGAGAGGACAGGGAAACATAGAGCAGCAGGACAGGAAGAAACAGATGGTCCTTAACAAACACTGTAGACATGTTTAACACACACACATGGGTGAGTGAGTAATCTAACTTTCCTCTATTTATGATCAACACATGCTAAATGAACTCTCCACATTTTGGTCAGAGCAGAGCACAGACAGGAAGAGTGTGTTTTCATGGGCTGAGGGTCCATCGCTACAACAAAGGACAGCTTGTAGCGGCTGGGCCGGGTTCTAAACAAAACTCTTGATTACAACTCTCCATGCAGTGGAAGCAGCTGGCTGAGCCAGGGGAGGAAGGTGGTGTTATCTAGAGGTTACCCATCAGGCCACTGGACAGGAAACAAGGACAGAGAAACAGGAAGT